TTTTCATTTTTCTACATGTTGATATCCAGTTATGCCAGCACCACTTGTTAAATATGCTTTCTTTTTTCCATTTGATATTTTTTGCTTTCTTGTCAAAGATCAGGTATTCTAAGATGTGTGGATTGATATACGGGTCTTCTATTCAGTTCCATTGGTCCTCCTGTCTGTTCTTATGCCAGTACCAGGCTGTTTTCAGTACTATAGTTCTGTAGTAGTTTGAAGTCAGGGATTGTGATGCCTCCAGAGGTTCTTTTATTGTACAGGATTGTTTTGGCTATCCTGGGTTTTTTGCTTTTCTAAATGAAGTTGAGTACCATTCTTTTGAGGTCTTTGAAGAATTTTTCTGGGATTTTGTTGGGCATTGCATTGAATCTGTAGATTACTTTTGGTAAGATTGCCGTTTTTATTATGTTAATTCTGCCTACCCAAGAGCATGGGAGATCTTTCTACTTTCTGGTGTCTTCTTCAATTTATTTCTTCAAAGATTTAAAGTTCTTGTCATACAAGTCTTCCACTTATTTGGAGTTACTCCGAGATATTTTATGCTATTTGTGGCTATTGTGAAGGGTGTTGATTCTCTGATTTCTTCCCCAGCCCCTTTATCATCTGTGTACAGAAGGGCTACTGACTTTTTTGAGTTAATCTTGTATCCTGCTACATTGCTGAAGGTGTTTATGAGTTTTAGAAGTTCCTTGGTAGAATTTTTGGACATAAATAGTCCATTTTGGGGGAATGTGAGCATAGTTTTCCAGGCTACTTCCTGCTGGTTGGGGTCGCTGATAATCTTATGGGGACCTAAAGAAAATTTAGAATTATGATCAAGTCCTGACTGGAGTATCCTGTGAGTCTTGATCATCTCAGGAAGAACATCTTGAATCTGTTCTGGATGTAGAACTCAGACATCTGGGCCATCTGGTCCTACCAGAGATTTCTCAGGTGGTTTTTCTTGATCAAATCTAATTATTCTTTTTTTTAATATTTATTTATTTATTTATTATGTATACAATATTCTGTCTGCATGTATGCCTGCAGGCCAGAAGAGGGCACCAGACCCCATTACAGATGGTTGTGAGCCACCATGTGGTTGCTGGGAATTGAACTCAGGACCTTTGGAAGAGCAGGCAATGCTCTTAACCTCTGAGCCATCTCTCCAGCCCCCAAACCTGATTATTCTTAACTCAAAATGAATCCACAGCTGGGCGATGGTGGCGCACGCCTTTAATCCCAGCATTTGGGAGGCAGAGGCAGGCGGATCTCTGTGAGTTCTAGACCAACCTGGTCTACAGAGCTAGTTCCAGGACAGGCTCCAAAGCTACAGAGAAACCCTGTCTCGAAAATACCAAAAAAAAAAAAAATTAATCCACAGCCTCTCATTTCTTGTGAAAACAAAAGCAAAACCTCTTCTCCAAAGTAACATACCTTTTGACTTCTATTTTGAAGTCAAAGTATTCTCAAAATACCTATCTTGGATTAATTCAGCAGTATTTATAAAGAAATATCTTCTAGCAGCTGTTGTTCCTTCCTCAGCATTCAAACAATTTAAAGAGCATAATAATACACAATCCAGATTCTCTGTGTATTTTTCATCTTTATGTGGCTTTATTTTAACCTCTTTTTCCTTTATTTTTACTTTTACTTTTTGGGACCGGTTTTTCTGTATATCTTTGGCTGTCCTGGAACTCCTTCTGTAGACCAGGCTGTCTTTAAACTGACAAGAGATCCACCTGCCTCTGCCTCCCAAGTGCTGGGATTAAAGGTATGTGCTACCACATCTTGAACTCACAGAGGTCTATCTACCTCTGCCTCCCAAGTGTTGGGGTTAAAGGTGTATGCTACCACACCTTGAACTCACAGAGATCTGTGAAGTTTTATTAATTTATTTGGAGTTTTGTTTTTTGTTGGTTTTTGTTTTTGAGACAGGATCTCAAAAACACTATGTAGTTCTGATAGTCCTGGAACTCACAGAGATCCATCTGCCTCTGCCTCTCAAGTGCTGGAAGTAAAGGCATGAGCAACCACTGCCCAGTTTATTTTTATGCATATGGGTGTTTAGCCTGTATGCGTGTCTGCACCACAAGCATGCAATTCCTAAAGAGGTCTGAAGAAGCTATCAGATCCCCTGGGACTGGAGTGTAGGTCCATATTTCTATATAGTGTGGAAGCCAGGTGCTAAAGCCATAGGCCCCATCTGAGGTAGTGAAGTAGCCCTGCAGACAGTCTCTGCCTAACAAAGGGTCAGGATGTTGTTGCTCCTTTCTTTGTAATTTGGAGGATGCCTTATAGAGATGCTGATCCAAGCCTACGTGACAGCTACCATACACAGCAGACAGGTAGATGCAGACGTGACAAAACGCCATTCACCTGGTTACCTAGGAGACAGGTCTGGTGTATTTTCCCACTCAATTTATGTGTTGGTATAAAAGATGTTTGGAGAATAAATGCGTGGAGATCTTCAGGAGAGAAGAACCCTGAAATGCCCTTCTGTGATGACCGTGTAATCTGCATCTGATTATTCCTTGCAGCTCTGTACCAGTTCAGTTAGGGAAAATAGTTATCTATGTTGGGGCCCATGGGCTCTAACAATGGAGTAACAGTTGTGAGCTGCCATGTCAGTGCTGGGGATCAAGGTCTTCTAGAAGAGCAACCGGTGCTGAGCCATCATCTCCCATCAACCCCTGTAACACGAATGGGAGTTGCTTGTTGTTGGGGTTTTTGTCCCGCCCGGTACCCCACAACTGTTTAGCCCCAAAGAAAATCACATATAGGTCTCCATAAATTATAAGCTGATTGGCCCATTAGCTTTAGCCTCTCACTGGCTCTCACATCTTGATTAACCCATTTTTCTGATCTATATTAGCCATGTGGCTCAGTACCTTATTCAGTGGGGCAGATCACATCCTGCTGCTTCGGTGGTCTAGGCAGGAGTGGGAGGAATCAACTTCCTCCGTCCCAGAATTCTCCTGTTCTCATTGCATCATTTCTGCTTCCTGTCTGGTTTTCCCGCCTATACTTCCTGCCTGGCCAATCAGTGTTTATTTAAAACATGATTGACAGAATACAAACAATTCTCCTGCACCAAACCCCTCCCCCAACTTACTAACTAAGTCCCAATTTGAGGTACCCATATACTTATGGGTATGGGGTCATCCAATGGAACGTGACCAATCTACCAGGGACCACACCTTAAATAAAACCGATTCTTTCCCACAGAAGTCATCCACTGTTAATAGCTCTTAAGCTCGTGATGGGGGCTTGTGAGCCTCTTGCTCTTCCAGGTTGGAATGCTGACTGGCCTGATCTATGCCAGTCTTTTGTAGGCAGCCACAGCTGCTGGACTCACAGATACAGCAGTCCTCTCATGTCCAGAGGCAATATCAGTCCTCCCTGACCTCTTGCTCTTCCAGTCCGAAATGGTCCCTGAGCCTTTGGGTGGTGGGTGGTGGCACAGAGGGCTAGTTTGTGGCTCAGCATCCTTAGTTTCAAAAAATATACCTTTTTTTTTCAGGCTTATTTTATGACTGTTTTGTCTGCATGTGCATCTGTACACCATGTACATACCTTGTACCTGTGGAAACCAGACAGGCCACCTGATCCCCCTGGAACTGGAGTGACAGTTGTGAGCCAACATGTGGGTGTTGTGAATCAAACCCATGTGCCCTGCAAGCATAGCAAATGCTCTTCACTGCTCAACCATCTACTTTTGTTTTGTTTTGTTTTTCGAGACAGGGTTTCTCTGTGGCTTTGGAGCCTGTCCTGGAACTAGCTCACGCAGAGACCAGGCTGGCATTGAATTCACAGAGATCCGCCTGCCTCTGCCTCCAGAGTGCTGGGATTAAAGGTGTGCACCACCACCACCACCCTGCTAGCCATCTACTTCTTAACAGAATGGATTACATGGATTTTCAAATGTTGTAGCAGCCATGAATGTCAGGAATAAAATTTTTGGCCATCTTGTTAATTATTTTTGCATATTGTTGAATTCAATGGACACCTCCCTATATTTTCTCTAATTTCTTGGATTTGCTCATTTTAAAATGTATTTTTTATCACTTGTTTGAGTGATTGGCATGCCGGGACACAGGTGGGGAGGTCAGAGGATAATCTGCAGGAGTCAGTTTGCTCCTCCCATCACCTGGGTTCTGGGGATTGACCTCAGTTCATCGGGCTTCACACCAAGCGCATCACCTGCTAAACTGTGTTCCCTAACCTCCTTGCTAACATTTTATCGATTTCTGCATCTAAGTTCATAAGTGATACTGACTTGTGGAGCTCTTGTTATTTTGAAGGTTTATTAATTTTTGCGTGTATATGTGTTTTGCCTCTACGTCTGCACACATGCTTGCAGAGCCCCTGGAGATCAGAGGAGGGCATCGAATCCCCTGGAACCGGAGTTAACAGAGGTTTTGATTTTATACAAAGTTTGATTCCCAGAATCAAGAAAGAAAACCAAAAACCCTACAAAGAAATCTTTAATAAATAAATAATTTTAAAAAAAACCCTACAAATTGGGGCTTGGAGAGATGGCTCAGTAGTTAAAGAACACTGGCTGATCTTCCAGAGGATCCTGGTTCAGTTCTCAGTACCCACATGAGAAAATTTTCTTTTTTTTTTATATTTATTAATTATGTATACAATATTCTGTGTGTATGCCTGCAGGCCAGAAGAAGGCACCAGACTCCATTACAGATGGTTGTGAGCCACCATGTGGTTGCTGGGAATTGAACTCAGGACCTTTGGAAGAGCAGGCAATGCTCTTAACCTCTGAGCCATCTCTCCAGACCCCTCAAAATTTTCTTTAACTCCAGTTACAGGGGACCTGTCTCCCTCTTCCCCAGATACAAGAGATGTAGACACATGCAGGCGAAACACCCATACACACAAATTAATTTAATTAAGAAGAATGGGGTATACTTGGGAGGCCGAGACAGGCGGGTCTCTGTGAGCTGGAGGCCAGCCTGGTCTACAGAGCGAGTTCCAGGACAGCCAGAGCTGTTACACACAGAAACCCTGTGTCAAACAAACAAACAAGAAGGTGGTCTATGGAGCTGGAGAAATGGCTCAGCAGTAAGTATGCTTGTGGTTCTTGCAGAGGGCCTGAGTTGATTCCTGGCACCCACATGGTGGCTCATAATTATTTATAACTCCATTTCCGGTGTATCTGGTCCCATGTACCAGGTATACACAGGGTGCACAGCCAAGCATGTAGGCAAGAGGCCCCCACACACAAGCCCAGAGGCAAAAGATAAGACAGGAAAATTTAAGAAAAGCTGGCAAGAAACAAGCCACACTAAGGCTGGGCATTCATAACTAAGAATAAACCTGTATGTGCGATTTATTTGGGGACTGGGTGGTGGGCCCCTCAAAAAGCCAGAAGAGTAAAACAAACCATTATGACTACAGGCATGAGTCACCACTTCTGGTTACTGGGCCCTCTTTACTCAAAGATGTGGGCAAAGTGGTTATCTTCCAGTGTTTATCAAGAAGGCAAATCCCCAAACTATCACTGGACACAGAGGGAGGCCTTGGAGTAGGATGGTAGATTATTTTGTAGAATCCCAGACAGAAAACCTTGTCTGGATTAAGAATAAAGTCCATCAAAATATAATCGGCTTTCTGGACACAGTAGGGAATGTGCTGGTCTCTTCTGAATGCACATTCCTGAGCTGCCCCGACTGCACTAGCCAGCATTCAGCCCTTCGGACAAGTGAGACAATGACTCCAGAAAGAAAAGACAGGCTATTTATCAGCGTCCTAAATTTTAACCCCAAGAAGCAGCCCAGGCTGAGTGCCCTCATCACCACCAGAGGAGGAAAGGGTCCTGATGAAGGGCCATCTACACAAACCTTCCAACAGTTCAAAAGAACATGGTGAATCCATTGCTAAAGTGATTCCTCCTTGCTAACGAGGCAAGGTTCTGTCCTCGGCCCACACCTACCCCACAGACGGACCACTTTTACCTCAAAACACTGATACAAAGAATCCTTTGGAGCAAACACCTATGAACAAAAGTCCTTTATGCTAGGAAAGTATTACCCTCTAAAATGGGGCTATATTTACAAATTTTATTTTTTTATCTCAAAAATACATATAAATGAAAAGCTGTTCTCCAAATGTGACAGGCCTTTGCCTATCATGTGGTATTATCTCTATCACAAATACTGTCATATGAAAATCAGCACACAGCTCCGAAACACACCATGTACAGGCACACATACTGTAAGTCATGAACTCCTTTCTACTTACACAGAGTGCAGGTGGGAATTTCAGAAGCTGGGCTGCCCTTGCTTTCCAACCTCGGGAAGTAAATACAAACCCATGTCAAAGATGGAACCGAGATGTGGAAGCTACACAAGCTCCTTTAGACACACACACACACACACCACAGCAAGGCCCTGCTACAAAGTCAACATTGGGGTGTTTCTCAAAGAGAGGAAAGAGATAACATTTGAATAAAAATGCAAAGCTGAAGAAGAACAGATGATCTAAACGGTTACACTGCTGAGCAGTGGTGGCGCCCACCTCAGCTTTAATGCTGGCAGAGGCAGGCAGATCTCTGGGAGTTCCTAGTTCCAGGACAGCTAGGGCTGTTACAGAGAAACCCTGCCTCAAAAAATGGTTACGTCTGTTTCCTGTCATATGACGTTTAGATCATCTGTTCTTTTTCTTCAGCTTTGCATTTTTATTCAAATGTTATCTCTTTCCTCTCTTTGAGAAACACCCCAACGTTGACTTTGTAGCAGGGCCTTGCTGTGGCCTTGGGTCTTGTGTGTGTGTGTGTGTGTGTGTGTGTGTGTGTCTAAAGGAGCTTGTGTAGCTTCCACATCTCGGTTCCATCTTTGACATGGGTTTGTACCCTCTCAGGACGCAGCTGCACAACCTAGTGCAGGATAGACACCAGCACCCGATGGTAGAAGCCATGACCTCCTACATAGTCATGTCTATACAGGCGTCGCAAAGTGTCTGTTTAGCTTAGACAGTCAATAATGAGGTCATGTGGTAAACTGTCACTTCCAAAAAACGAAGCGCAAAATCAACCTCTATGACTCAAGAGCTGATCCAGGTCAAAGCTTTGGTATATGCTGGAGGTTGTTTTGGTGACAACCAAAGCTTACTAAGATTCTCTGCTCTAGGATTTGTCCCCAAAACAAAACCCCTCGTCCACAAAGCTCAATGACATATAAATAAGAAACTGTACAAAGAGAACAAACAAGCCACGATCCCCTTTCCAAGGGCTTGGTTTCCTGTGCAGCGGTTCTGAAGGCACCCACTACAGCCACACACTTTGACCAAAACTCGACATGCTGTAATTGGTGAGACTGTTCTGAAAACAAGCGCCCACAGGCAGGCAGCTGCTGTGCCAAGTTCAACAAAATACGAGGTGAGAGTTCTCATACTGCAACACAAGCTGGGCAGCAACAGAGGAGACTTAAGGCAAGAAGAGTCGCTGGAGAGTCAAGCCCACGGCCTCCAGCAGGAACAGTTTCTAATAGTGGGGATGCTTCTCAGTTGCTAGCTGTCAGACACCATTTCCTCCTCCTCGTCATCCTCATCTTCCTTCCTGTCTAGTTCAGAGGTGTCTGAAGACTCATGGAGCAAGACATATTCTCTGCTACTGAACCCAAATTTAAGGACATCTTTTTCTTTCAGTTCGTAGTATCTCTGTGGCTCAATACGCTTGTTGTTCAAGAAGGTTCCATTGCCTGAGCCGAGGTCAATGATGTAGGGTTTCACCCTCCGACCAACTGTGCCATCAGCACGCGTGTACTCCACAAGCCTAGAAGAGACCAGGGAGAGAAGCCTGTGAGCCCTGTTCTGCCAGAGACCACCTACTCTGAAGCTCGCTGCTACAGATCTAGATGTTACTGCCTTGGATTGAACATGGATCAAATGCAAACTATAGGAGGTCACGGGGAAGTACTGCCTGGTTAAGGGAATTGGGAGCAGTTTACATATACCCAAGAGAAAAGGTAGAGGGCTGGGAGTGGTAGGTGGGGGTGGAGGGCCACGAAAAATTCCAATGTAGAACTCAAGACTTCTTGTTATGGCTACACACATACTCCCGATGCTGTACATCTATTTTAGCACCAGCCCAAATGAGGAAAAAACACTAGAATGAGAACTTGAGAGTCAGGGGCTAGATATGAGACAGAGTTCTGCTCTGAAGGTCATTTGTACCATCAGCTGACTGTGCTGAGCTACAGTTTTCTCAGCTGTCAAATGAGGATGCTAACCCTGGTCCTGTTTTCCCCACGGGAGTGTCGAGGAACAGATGGTAAGAGTCTATGATCTAAGCAGCAGATTCAGCCAGCGTATACCTGGCATTCTGACTCTGGCTTCCACTTCTATTTGGTCCTCATGACAGCCCTAGGGGCATATGGAAATAGGTCCAGAGTGGGGCAGGACCTTCTAAATTTTTTTTCTTTTCTTTTTGAGAAGCGATGTTGGTACATAGGCCATGCTTAGAGGGTACACCAGTCTTTTCTGCTTGGCCTCCAGAGACCTGGGATTAGGATTACAGGCCTGCATTTTCACAACAGTAGAGCCTAATATCTGGGTTTCTGATAACAAGTTCAAGACTCTCATATAAATGTTAAGAGATTACTCAAGGGCTGCTAGACTTTCAGCCCAGCTCATTAGATACAAGAGCAACGGGCTCTTCTGCACCCTCACACAGACAGCCATAGGCATCCCCAGTGAGACACTCCCCCCAGCTCCCTCTCCAGTTCTCCCCTGGTCTACCTACCGGTACTGGAAGACTGCATGCTGCTTGGAGCAGGAGGGATGGTCGATGGGAATGTCGGCGATGCGGCGATGTCGCCCCAGAAGGTAAGCACTCTGTCGATGGATGTACATGACTGGAAGTACCTCATCATTTTTAAAGGGGTAGAGACGCCACCGTTTTTTGGGGATCCGGGCTTCTGGGGGCTCACTGTACTTAATAACCACACCCCGGAAGGTATTGGTGTCCTCAAGAAGTGCCCCAGAAAGTTCAAAGCTTGGTTTTTCTTTGACAGGCACCTCTTTGCTACTGTTACCAGCAGGGCGAGGGATCACCTCCTGAGCCTCACTGCCAGCACCTTCATTCTGCTGGCGATGCTCCCGGCGCCTGGCATTATGAAAGTCCCTCTCTTCTTCCTGGGCCTGCAGAATCTGGCTGTCTCGGTCCCGACACTGCCCACTGACAGGCCTCTCACCAAAGCTCCTCCTTTGGCGGGAATGGCCCCGGTGTCGGTCTCGCTCACTGTTACGAGTTCTCCTTTGTTCCTGTTCTGATGGCTCCCGGTGCTGCCGATCCTCTCGTCCTCTCCGTGGATGGTCCTCGCGTTCCTGAAATTAAGATGCATTCAGTAAAGGAAAGGATGGCTTCTATTCTATGAATAAGCTGCCAGGGCTGGGGAGATGTCTTAGCAGTAAGAGCACTAACTGCTGTTCAAAAGAACCCAGGTTCAGTTCTTAACACCCACATAGTTGTTCGCAACCATCTGTTGCAAGGGAATCCAATGCCCTCTTGTGACAAGCGTGGGCACTGCATCTCTATGATGCACAGACATCCATGCAGGGAAAACGTCCACACACATAAAATACTTAAATCTCGCAAAAAACAACATATTGGTGACCTGGGTGCTGGAATTCAGAACAAAGTCTTATTCCCACAAGGCTATCTGTGGTAATTCTGTTCCCCTGGCGGGCCATTAAGACTCTATAGTCCATGCTGCTCCTCAAATACAGGTCTGATAGCCCAAGTCCACATTCAGAGCCCTCAAAACAAGAGGCTGAAACAGAGGGGAGGAGAATATTCCCTTCAGTCATCTGCAGGCAAACTCACAGAGCAACATGTGTAGAAAACAGCACAGAGTAGCCAGGTAGTGGTGGTGGTGAACACCATTAATCCCAGCATCACTGCAAGGCCAGCCTAGTCTACAGAGTGAGTTCTAGGACAGCCAAGGCTACCTGAAACCTGCCCCCCACCAAAAATGGAATTAAAGAAAGAAAACAGAATAGTCACATTTAAGCTACGTAAAGGAAAAAGTCAACTTTCTCATAAGCCACAAGGGAAATTGAAATAATTTCAAAAGCTCCAACTTCAACAACTACAAGGATTATTCAGACATCTAGGGATAAACCTAAAAAACATGAACGCCTCAAGAAACCTACAAGAAAGTATTACTTGGTAGTTTCCAAACTTCTGACAAAATGGAAACACATACTAAAAATCAGTCTGGCAGAAACCACAATACATATCACACACCAGTAGATCAATGAGAGCCTGGTAGTGGCGCAGGCTTTTGAACCCAGCACTCAGAAGGCAGAGGCAGGCAGGCCTCTGTGAGGCCAGCCTGGTCTACAGAGTTCTAGCAGGTTATTACACAAAAGGCTATTACACAAAGAAACCCTGTCTCGAAAAAACAATGACAGAAACAGACCAGTGAGAAATCAATCAGTAAGGCAACCAGTCCACAGGCTGGTATCAACAGCAGTCTCCAGAAGCTAATACTTAGTAACCCCCTATCTCACTAGGAACCAGAATATCAATGCAAAAAATAAATAAAAATTTTCTCAGATTAGCAAAACTAAAAAGGTCAGGAATTGCTACTATCAAGAGAAGGAACTGGGGTGGTATAGTGTGAATAAAAACCTATCTCCACAGTGGGCGAGGGTGGGGATCAAGTGTCTAGGCCTAGCCAGGTGGTATGGCTCTTGGCTTTATCCCAGTACTCAGGAGGCAGAGATAGACGGATCTCTGTGAGTTTGAGGTCAGCCTAGTCTACAGAGTGAGTTCCAGCACAGTCAAGACTACACAAAGAAACCATCTCGAAAAGCCAGAGTTCTCGGTCTGCCTATGCTACCTACCAAACAAGTTTCAGGCCAATCTGGGTCTAATTAGCAGGAGATCAACTGTTTCAACTACAAAGATGTGAAATCATGTAATTTTTGTCTTTTTCCCTTGGTTTATTAAGCAAGTCATCAGGGTTCAAACATCCTGTAACATGTGTCAGGATTTTCTTCCTTTTAAGGCTGAGTAATAATCCATTAATATAAAAACAAACATAATGGTAACGGGACTAGGATTCAGACAAGGCAAGCACTCCTAAACTTTAGCCCCAGTCCTTAATTGTGAGACGGTGTCTCTACTAAGCTCTTAGCCAGTCTTGAACTTGTGATCCTCCTGTCTCTGTGTAGGGTTACATGCACACACCACCACACTTACATCAAGCAAGACATTACTAGAAAACCTGGAAGATACTCAGCAGTTAAAAGCACTTTTTGCTCTCCAGAGGACTTGGGTCAGTTCCCAGCACCCTCATGGTGTCTTACAGCCATCCTTAAGTTCTAGGGAATCTGGTACTCTTCCGGACTGTGGGCACCAGACATATACACGGTGTACATACATACGTGCAGGCAGACATAAAAACATGCAAAAAAATTATTTTTAACCACACACACATTCAAGACTGTTCTAACATTTACAGAGATGCAGACAAAAAAAAAAGCTAATTTTTTTGTTTTGTTTTGTTTTTCAAGACAGGGTTTCTCTGTAGCTTTGGAGTCTGTCCTGGAACTAGCTCTTGTGGACCAGGCTGGCCTCGAACTCACAGAGATCCGCCTGTCTCTGCTTCCTGAGTGCTGGGATTAAAGGCGTGTGCCACTACTGCCTGGCTCAGAACAGCTAATTTTTGAAAGAATAAAGTAGAAGAAATCAGGACACTTGGTTTCAAGATTTATATTACTTAAGTGTGGTAATTGAGATAGCATGGTATTGGCAGAATCACAGACATATGCCTGACGGATTTTCAATGTGCAGTAAAATAACAGTGTCCTTTTAAAGAATGTATTGGAGCATGCGGGTAGTCACAGGTCAAACCTGGCCCATCTGCACTGGTTTAAACAGTGCCATGAACAATGTCTGTCCATCCAGGAAATGAGAGATAGAGAAGCAGCCGGGAGAAGGATAAAGGTGGAAAGGAATGGGACTAAAGAGCAGTCTGAAGCATCCCACAGCAGTGAGCCGTCAGTATCCTGACTGTGATACTGCCCACCGTCGTGTGAGAAGTTACCATTGGGAGAAACGGAAATGTATTTCTGACAAAGGGTTATCAGAATCAAACCAATCATCCTCCAAATTTAAATATCCGTGTAAAACAACCGCAAACACACAGCCAGTTTTTAGAAGAGTCCACTGCCAGGACAAGGACACACGAAGGTGCAGACCCTCGTCAGCAACGGCTCTAGATGCGAACTTCCTATCAAGGGCACCTGCCCCCTCACTCACCTGCTTCACTTTAACCATGGTGTAGTGGGGACTCCGGCTTCTCTTAGTCCGTGGAGACTTGCTTCTTCTCCCTGAGGACTTGTTTTTCTTTTTGGCTGGGGACCTTTTCAGAGAATGGTACACAGGATTTTACCTCAATGTCCCTTCCCCCAAAGAAATCAGCTTCAAGTATCAGGCTCACCCGCTAGACACCACACGTTTGTGAACCCGGTAGTGGAAATCAGGCCTTGGCTCTCCTGCTCACTTGGAGCAAACACAGGTACACGACTTCCTGCTGAGGCCTGCTCACTTCCATAACCTAATTCTTGAAGCCCAAAGCCTCAAACACCTTTCTTTCTCCAGTCTGTCATCCTACTAATTGACACCACTATCCAGGAAGTCAATCTTTTATAGGGATAAGCCCTCCCCCTTGGGGGCGGGCTGCCCTCGGGCTTACGTTTACTGATAAATTGCTCCTGGTACTCCGCTGGAACCTCTGGTTTTGTCATTAAACTTGTTCAAATACCTATTATCATTGGTCTTCATTAATCCAACCGCCACAGATGGCTGCCCAACGTGAGGCTAACTGAATCCACAAAAAGCCTGAGAAAGCTTGGGAAAGAATGGAGTGAAGCATGTTTTCTTGGTAGCAGAAATTTCTTGGGTCTGCTCCGCTTGCTACAGGCAAGCAAGCGCTCTCATCTAAGAGAGGCTTCCTGACTCAGCTTCAGCTGCAAAACCCTGCAGCTCATTAAGAGGTCCTGCCACAAAACAATTAAATGGTGTTGACAAAAAGCTGAAGGCATGCTTTTCCATTTTCAGCCGTAGCAGAAAAAAAAAATTGTGCTGTTTTAAAATGCTGGCTTTCTGGGCCGTCCTGCCAGGACAAACTCTGACTGAGGCAAGAGGGCCGACTACCGAGAGAGGACTTGACTGTTGTCTGTTGTAGCTCACTTGCTGGCAGGGACCTTGAAACGCCATAGAATTGTGGCTATAAACATGGCTACAGCCTGTATCTCTGCCATGAGGCTGGAAAGCTAAGGAATGGACTGGATCTACCTGGCAAAGCCACAGCCTTAATCCTACTCATATTGCTCAGTAAATTAAAGACTCATGTGTTCAGAAAAAGAGAGATATATAGTAAAGAGAGATTCAAAGACAAAGAAAATTTTAAATGATTTACAGTGTGTTGAAAATAATATGCAGACTAAAAGTTAAAATTCTTAAAGTAAAAAAAAAGTAAGAAAAAGAGAAGTTGTGAGTGGTAGTACACGCCTTTAATCCCAAGGCTTGGGAGGCAGAGGGAGATTGACCTCTGTGACTTCAAGGTGTGGTAGTAGCAAACGCCTTTAATCCCAATGCCTGGGAGGCAGAGACAGAAGGATCTCTGAGAGTTCAAGGACAGCCTGGTCTACAGAGTTATTCCAGGTCAAAGAGATACAGAGAATATAAAATAAAAGTAAAAATAAATGAAATAGAGGTTAAAATAAAGCATACAAAGATGGAAAATACACAGAGAATCTTGATACTGTATACTATTATGCTCTCTTTGAATTGTTTGAATGCTGAGGAAGAAGCAACAGATGCTAAAAGATATTTGTTTATAAATGCTGCTGAACTAATCCATCGTAGAGATTTTGATGCCTTGACTTTGAAATTTGGATCTAAGGACATGATACTTTGGAAAGGAGTTTCCTATTTTGTTTTCACAGAGGATGAGACCCTGTTCATTTCTTCTATTCAGATATGGTATGATGGACCACG